CAGCAGCAGCAGCAGCAGCCACCATCCATCCCTGCATGCCGCGCCTCCTTCTCCGATCCGTTTGCCTTGCAGCTCGCCAATCACTGAAGGCGCCGCGGCCGGAGGGCCGCTCGGATAGACACGCGCGCCGATATACACGAGCCGTGCCCGGCCACACCGCCGGCCCGCCCGGAATGGGCACAAGCTACACCCATTACCTGCGCGCCTCCAGGAGGAGGCCTGCGTGCGCCGCGGCCCTGGCCTCGGCCCTGGCCTCGGCCCTGGCCTCCACCTTGGCCGTGCCTTTGGCACTGACCTCGGCCGTCACCAGCGCGCCGGGCGGGACCCATGGCGGACACCGCCCGCCCGCCCAGCCCGGACCGAACTAACGGTGTGCCCCTTGTATCCGTCTTTCCCCTTTCTGTAAAGGTCTTTAACCGACTGGTAGGTGCGTGGCGACTCAAAACAACCAGCAGGTGAGTAAAATCAAAACTAAATCTTCATGATATTTTGTTGAAAGTTTTAATCACAATTACAAGTCTATTTGCCTTAATTTAATTTTTACAAAAATGTACAAATCTTAATTTAAAGTGGTGAAATGCCTTCACAAGTTGCCTCGTTTGTCTTGCTCAAGTTCTATCGCTTCGAACAGCGCCTTGAAGTTGCCGACTCCGAAGCCCTGCAAATGTCAGGCACGCCGTTTAGTTCTGCTGGGGCGGAGCCCGAGCGCCTGCGGACTGCAGGTTAGGCCACCCCGCGAGACAGGGGAGTCATGCGGGGTGGCCCATCTGCAGTTCGCAGGCGCTCCAAGAGGGAGGTGGTCCGGGCAGAGCAAGAGGACGGGGCTTACATTGAAGTTGTGCCTCTCGATGACCTCGAGGAAGAGGGTGGGCCTATCCTGCATGTTCTTCGTGAAGATCTGGAGGAGGTAGCCGTCGTCGTCGTAGTCAACGAGGATGTTGAGCTCCTCTAGCACCTTGAGGTCCTCTTTGATTTGGACCTTGCTCTCCGCCAGCCGCTGCCGCAGCATGGTGTAGTACGAGCTCGGCACTTCCAGGAAGTGCATACCCCTCGCACGCAGACCGCGGATCTGTCGAGGTAGGCCCACCAAACCGCAATAAGTACGAGTCCCATGCAGATGGGTGCAACAATACCCAATACCCAGCTTTGGAATATATTAACTCAATTAAACAGCTGGTTTCTCAAGGCACCTTCACGTTTCACTTTTTGATGAAAGTCTTTTTATTTCAGAGTCGCCAAATCAAATGATGTAAGCTCACCGCCTTGACGATGTCCTTCGTGTTGAGGGCGATGTGCTGCACGCCCGCGCCGCCGTAGTACTCCACGTACTCTTGGATCTGGCTCTTCTTCTTGCCGGGCGCCGGCTCGTTAATGGGCATCTGCACCAAAAGAAAAGGACGACAGAAGTGCGCCTCGCTCGCCACCGGGCACCACCATTTCCCCCGTCCCCCGCCCCGCGCGGCCCAGCCGCCGCCCCTCACCTTGACCGTCTCCTCGTAGTTGGTCATGACGATGGAGCGCAGCGCCGAGAACTCGGTGTACAGCTGTTTGTCGTCCACGGACCAGTAGCGGTGGAAGAGGAGGGTCTTCTCGTACCACTTGGCGGCCGACTCCATCTCATTGTCCGGCTGGTTGCCCACCACGTGGTCGATAAAGTTGAGGCCGACGTCGGGCCTGTTTGGTCGGATAGAAGGATTTCACTTATTATTTTCGTCTTCTTACGTGCCGCACTAAGCACCCTCCTCTCGGGTACTCACAGTCCGCGCACGAGCTTGTCGTCCAGCAGGGGCTTGCTGTAGCCGGGCAGGAAGTGGCCCCGGTAACCGGTGCGATCCACAAACGTGTGCGTCGTGTCTCCGTACTAGAAATAAATTTTCTTTAAACTTGGTAGAATTTTTTGATTTTTTTGGTATGAATGTTAGAGATTTTTATTTTTGAAAAAAGTTTATGATCTCAATTTTTTACTGCATATTTTCAGTCATTAGATAGGACAGGCAGCCCAGCGAGAAATGCTGTTTCGAATCGACTGACTGGACTGGGCTGGTCCACCGTACTCACAGACACAGACTAAGTCATTGTGCAAACATGGCATCACGGCAACATTCGGGCAGTATGGACACACCCAAAAAACGAGGTTCTTGAATCAAGTAAATACCATCGGAACAAGTCAACTTCCTAGGCATGTGCTGGGAAATTGACTTGTTCCAAGGATACTTACTTGATACAAGAACCTCGTTTTCTGGGTGCACGGCGCGTGATGGCCCGCGTCCGCGTGTCCGCGGCCAACCCTGCCGGCGTCAACCCCACGACAAACAGCGCGGTACTCACCGTCTGCACGGTGGCCAGCCTCACGGTGCCGAACTCGTCGCTCTCCTCGTAGATGTCGCGCACTATCTTGGCGCCCTGCTCCTTGGCGGTCTGCGGCAAGGAGAAACAATACGCGACGCGCGTCAGACAGACAGACAAGAGTCGCCATAAAACGAAGGACCGTAAAGGACCCACTGAAAAGGGGGAAGTGTGCTGGGGTTTGGGTTGAGGGGGGAATTCCAACCGGCCCAATGGTCCTTGGCGCCACTTACCGCCATGATAAAGTCCAGGTCCTCGACGGAAAACGCCACATCCTTGACGCCGTCGCCGTGCTGGATGAGATGCTCCCCGAGCGCGTAGTCGCCGGGCTCGTACGACGACACGAACACGAACACAATCTGCAAGGCCGGGCAGGGCGGTCAGGTCAGCGCGGTCACACCGCCGCCGACGCCGGCGGGCTCGGTCGGGCGCGGCGCCATGGCAGGTGTCGGCACGCAGGCGTCGGCTTGGCTGCCGGGCCAGCAGGCGCAGCCCCGGCCCCAGCTCCAGGACCCTACCCAAGAGAGTTGACTGGAGCCCGGGGCGCTGCGCGGCTGTTGGGACATCGCCTGCGGACCCGAGGGTAGGCCACCCAACCGGCGCGCGTGCGCCGCTGGCCGGTGCCTCTGTCACTGTGCAGTGCATGCGTCGCAAATGTTGCGCTCTGGCATAGCAGGGACTAGACCTGTGGTGGTCCCTCACGATATGCTCACGACCCTCACGGGCGTGCGCAGCAACACACGGTACCCGTCAGACAGGCGCCTTTAGTACAAGATTCGCCTGACAGGCGATGCACTGTCGGCTGCCCACGCATGGAGGGTTCGTGGCTCAAATGGCCAAACTTTCAGGCGGTTCCCTATAAAGGCGAGGGAGGGACGGTGACCCCCCCCCCCCTTTTCCTCTTGTTTCGTGGGTGAACTGACCAGCGTCCGCAACACAATTCATCTTTCTGCGCACCCACCTTGTCCTGGCGCACGGCGTGGAAGGCGTGCTTGCGGGAGCCCGTCTCTAGCCCGCGGTAGGCGAAAGGCTCGAAGCCCATCCGGGTCACGTAGTAGCTGGCGGCTTGCTTCGCGTTGCCCACCCAGAACTTAACGTGGTCGAAGTTCAGGAAGCGGCCACTGATGGGCTAGAAAGAGAAGACTGGATCTTAGAGGGGCCTCTATGACGATGAACGGGGATTGCTTCATTCGCTTCATCACGTTTGGCTTACCTTCTGGCCCTTGTCTGTGTAGGTGGTCTGCAAAGAAAATCAAACGATTTGTTAAAAGCTTCCACACGGAAGAATTTTTCAGCACGTGTTTTTGGTGTCGACACACAAAAGGGATAGATAAGAACTAGGAATGCGACAGGCGGGGTATCGTTCAGGGACAGGAGGGGTCTGGAATCCGGTTGGGTTCAAAACACTGCGTCACGCGGCGGTCACGTCGGCCGGAGGTCGGTTTTCGGGTGGCGCCGCTGTTTTAAAGACGCGTCGATGATGGGAAAAATTTCGGGGGAAAATATTCCGCGAGGTGTGGCGTCTTGGACCACGACCAGCGACCTTACCTGCCCCATTGCCCCATAAAGCACCTCGTTGATTCAAGGGGTCAGAAGAACACACGGTCGCGAGAAAATCAATAAAAACTTAAATAACGTCGAGTATTGTGACGACAAGCCATAGCTTATCTAATCTCCGCTTATGTTGCGAGGGCGCTCGCGCGCGGGGTTTAGAGGCTGCACGCACGGTGGTGGGTGACGAGACTCACCATGGCGACGATATCGGAGCTGTGTCCTGTCCAGGAGGTGTCACCTGCGGCTGTTGCCGCCCGCCCCGGTACCACTGCTTTTATAGCTCCAGCGCAGCCGCTGGCCAGGGGCGGCCCGGGGCCCGGGGGACCTCCCTCGGCGCCAGGTCACCGCCGTTCCGTCCCGGGTGTGTGTCTCCGGGAGTGGGCAGCCGATTGGTCCGAGCCGGAGGACGGTCCCGTCGCGACCAATCAGAGCGCGTGGAGCGCGAGCTCGGCGCGTGTCTCCCGGGTCGCCTGCCGGCCCCGTCAAGGCGGCACACGGCGCGTCGACGTCACGCCAACAATGACGGGTTTTCATTAGACAAATCTAAACTGGGCGTACAAAAAAGAAATCCGCCGATTTTCGTTCGATATACCATGGGGCTGAGTTGGTCCGCGACACCTACCTTCGCACTTAGACTGCACCCCATGGACGCGGACGCGGCCAGGTTGCCTACTCGCTTGACACCTTCGGGTACGATGGTCGCAGACGAATAGGCACCCCCATTCTTTTCTCGATGACCATGGGTGCAAAACATATTATCCAGAATAACTCCAATGAATCATCCATTTGTTGGTGGGATGGGTGTTTGTTAGTTGTGCCCTGTTTTCTTCCTTCTCGTTTTATTGGTTTATTTATCAGTTATTTAAATGCCCCTTGTATGTTTCTAGCAAGTGTGTTACAACGGCAACGCCTCTAAAACCATCTCGAACTGTGGACGTCAACTAGGCTGACTCTTCGAACATTTCATTGCATTTTCGAAACCGACTCTAAATGCCTGAACTGCGAACGTATCTCGCCTGTTCCCAGACACCAGACACACCTGGAGATGTAGTTGTTTTTGCTCCACGTGGCTGAGTGGGATCTCGGCTCGGCCCCGCCAGTCAGGTCCGTTGGCAAATTTCCAGCTCCAGACATCAGACAACAGTTTTGTCGCAAACAGACCGCTCGACAAAACTTTGTGAGGATGCATAACTATCGTAGGCGGAAAATATTTACTCGAGAGCACGGTAAATACGCAATAAATGAACAAACAACGAAATAAAGCATAGCCTTTTTCATTGTTTATTTGGGGCCAGATTTGGCATGTTCTTTGGATGTGGCAACGAGTAATTTCCGTGCTGAACCAAACGATATACGATATGAGTGAGGTAAAGGCCCTTTGCCTGAAGTTACCTCCTGCACTTGGGTGATCTGGGTGGGCCGCCGGCTCCACACAACTGCCTCGCGGGTTGGCCTACCCGCGGCGTGACGGGCGCCGGCGTGAGCGTCGCTTCGTGAAACGTGTGGACACCTTATAGAGCCGGAGAGGATGTCATCAGCAGTATTCTGTTTCGGTGAGGCTCTGCCTGCAGCCCTGCTCGGCCGTTCAAGTTGAGCGTTCGTCCAGTCCACACCTCGTTCCAGACACCAACCCGATCTGGTTCTGGGCGTGTTGTTATTGTCACTGCGCCAAGCAGGCCGTTCGGGCGCGCCAGGGGCGAGCCCCCAGCCCGCGTTCCTATTGGGTGGACCGAGAGGCCGGGCCGGAGACCAGTCATCTGATAGGCGGAGCAGCAGGCACCGCTGTGTCGAGGGGGTCGGGGGCTGGACCGATAAGCCATGTCGTCATTAATTCTTTCCAATTCCCAAAACAAATACAAAATCGCACATATTGTACAAGCTCTTCAAAAGTCTTTATTGTTTAAAAGGAAACATCTGATGGAAGACAATTTTTCAAGGTTGTGTAAAAAAAAAAATTGATGAGGTGCTAATAACATGAATCTGAACTCTAGGACACTGAAAATAGTTCCGTGAACAACGTTCAGAGGAACAAGATGACTTTCAAATCTATTACAGCGCTTGCTCCTACATCACACTCAGCAGACATACAAAATATCTTTGTCGTAGACAAGTTTTCTGAGCAAGTGAAAAATTAGGAATTACAAAGCTCTATCTAAGAAAAAAAAATAATAGAATGTGATGGTGGTTACAATGGAGTCTAAATATTACCAGATGTTAAAGTAACAATGGTAAATAAAATTACCATGAGCCACAGAAAAATGTCAGTAAAAAAAAATGTTCATGACAACGCAGTTGAATTAGAAACGTCATCATTGCCTGTGACAAATAGAAAGACAAATATAGATATTTGAACAATATATAATGAAATAAACTACAGCACAAGATTTAAAGGAGCTTTATTGAAATGGTCTTACCAGAAATCTTTCCTAACGCAGAATCATCACTTCCTCCTGTATCTTGAGAGTCTGTGCTTTCGGTTTTGGAAACATGATTGTTTTCATTTTCTTCCCCTGATGTATCAAATGCTCTCTTCTTCACTGATTTGTCAACACTGTCTTGTGTTTCAGCAGCATTACTACTAAGATTATTCTTTCTGGATGCATCTGGATAGCTTGAAGCGGTTTCAGCGCATGTAGCCTTAAGTGAAGTAACTCTTGAGTCCAGGTAATTGAAAAGGAAATCTGCATCCTTAGGACTAGCCTGAAAATTCAGCAAAATCAGAATTCAAGAACATTAGATTTGAACAAAACGGTTAATATCTAGATAGCAGTTCACCAAACAACAATTACCATGACGAGGAAAACAAGAATTTCCCCACTAATAGCATCCATTGCAGTGAGACGAACACTTTTACTGCTGACTTTTTCAACCACCATCCCAGGCCACAACTAAAAACAGATTGAAAGCATTTTAGCCACAAATTTTAAAAAGTTGTTAAATTGACATGAGAGTTTGACCAATTTAAACAGACCTTGGTGTTCAGAATTACTCGAAAACTTCCTGCAGTACGCATGATAATTCTTGACTGCTTCTGCCCAGATCCCGACTCCTTGTCATTCAAACGTAGGTTTCCTCGACCACGTTCAGCCCAAGAAGACTTTACTTTATCAAAAGCAAACAACTTACAATTGATCTGAGAGGTAAAATTTGAAAACAGTGAAACAATGACAAAACTTTGACAGCAGAGAGCAATTGTTTTCAAAAACTAATAGGGTAAAATACCTGCAAGATATTCAGCTCATCTTCTTCCCCAGTTACAACAGCCACCTCTTCGTATTTTCGTTTGACAGCTCTTGATTCTTCGTACTCCTTAGCAGCTTCACTGAGCGATTTGTTGGGCCGATCGCCACCACTTTCCCCTCCACTATCCTAAAACACAAAATGACAGCCAATAAATAGCAACAAAGACAAGAAAAATATTATATTAGGTAGTAACTTTCACACAGATTGATGCTAACATTGCTTTTTTCAACCTGTTCTCTTTTCAAAACAGATGTGAACAGGTTCTCAGAAGTGCCGTTACTTCCAACTGTTGTACTGGAACTTGAGGCACCATTCTGGAAGTAAAGATTGGTCGGTTTTAATCCACATAAAATAAGAATGAGAGGAGGAGAACTTATGTAGTAAAAAAATGAAAAAACTCACATTCACCGCATCTGGAATTTCACTCTTCTCGGTAACTGTTTCTGTTGAAGCAGCATCCTAAAGGTAAAAACAGCAAACATATCATAAAAAGTTTTGCAAAATCTAAAATAAGCATTTTACATGCAACACACACTTACTGAAACTTTTTCATGCAAATTTTGTCCAAACACAAATCCACTGGCAGCAGAGGTAGATGGAACTGCAGGAGATGCTGTTGGGTTCCCTCTGTGAAATGGAATTGTTCAATACAATATGTATGCAATTTATGCCATAACAAGACATTCAAATATTGTCAGGTCAATTAACCTGGACTGTGAAGGTGGCAGAGGTGTTCCCAAAGGAACAAACTTAGGTAGTGATGCAGGAGGTTGAGCAACTTGAACACCAGGGGCAGAAGTCTTTTCTTCTGTGGCTTGTGTTTCTGCTGTATCATCTCTCATTTCTTCTGTTTCACCTAAAACAAATGATAAGAATTAAGAACTACAGTAGGATTGAAAGAAAAGTTTTTCAGTAAAATTTATGTCAACCTCATACCTTTAGCAAATGGATTGCTTAAACGAGCTGGTTTCAGGGCAAATGAATATTTTGTTGCATTCTCGCCCAGTGCTGGTGTGGATCCAAATTTGTCTGGGCTTGCAAGTTGTGGAGGACGGAGGTATGAGGCTCTAAGGGGCCCCATAGACGCTAATTCAAACAAAATTTATCAGGTTACAAAATGGACAAAGTTAAAGGTAAGAGATTTAAACACTACTTACTGGATGGCTTTTCATTACTCATTTTTGATGGTTCAAAAGAAGAAAATGATCTAAAATTTGAAGACCCTGCAGATCCAAATACACCTGTTGGGTTGGAAGTTAAAGATTTTCACTAGTTTGCAGCAAAGACGTAACAATGTAAAATTTAATACATAACTGCATTTTACCTGGTTTATACTTTAGCCTGTTATTAAAGCTACTATTCTCACTATTATCTTTCTCAACTACAGGCTCTGGTACATCTGACAACTTTGCCTCTGGTAAAAGGTCCAACTTTATGGCAGGAACTGGAGATGACTCCTCTTTTGTTGAATCTTAAAAATGGCAAAAATAATTACAAATCAACACAAGTGAAGTAAATCAGTCAGCACTCTCAGTACCTCCACATCAGACACAAGAAATGTGAAATGAATAAAATTCTGTTCAAGTTATAAAATTTGAGTATCAAAGTTTACATAAGTCATGTGTAGTCTAGAAATAACTAAGGTGCCTTAATTGTTCAAGATGCTGAAGTCAGTCCTTGACAGGTCTACGAGCACAGTAGTGCCACTAACCTATAAGTGTACATTCGCCCAGAGTTCAGATTTTATGTCAAGAATTAAAGTGCAACATGTACAATTAATAAGACAACATAAAACTCATTACGAAAATATTTATGTCAATAAGCAGACACTGACGCTAAAGACTTTCCAAATTAAGATTGCCAAACAGTACATAATCGAACAGGCTTGATGAGCGATTAAGTCACAATTTTAAAAGTATTCAGTCGTGTGGCAGTTGGGTAAATCAACCAAGACAGATAAAGAGGAATTACCCAAGGTTTCTCTTGCATATGTAACTAAATTAATATTGGGGGACGAGACAGACAGTCCGACAAGAACACTCACCATTCGGCTTGTCCGCCATGATGCTAACCGTGCTTTTGACGCTACTGTTATGGAGAGTTTGTCATATAGTGGACTCCCAAGCCAAAGTTGTCGACCACCGACACCGACCACTTAATTTTCTCATACCGTGGGAAAATGTCACGCCTCTGTTGCCGTGTTCTTATTTACTAACGAACGAAATGTCAAGCTTCCTTTTTCTTGCCAGATGGGCGTGCAAGTTTCTACTGAGCCGTTAAAAAACTAAATCCGCTATTGTGAAAAAGACTATTATGTGTAGAACTGGTGAGGTCACCGTGAACGCGTCTCTAGGCCAAAATGTCGTTGTTCGGGGACCGTTGCAAACAGATGCAGGTGTAAGAACAGGTTGCAGTGATGGGAACGTCCGTCAGCCTCACTAATCATGGAGAAAGTGACTGAAATAACTCTGTCAGAACCCTCTCAAGAGTTCATTCTTGCTTTTACGAGGACATGATGTGAATTAGCTGTTCTCATTACAATCACGAAAACATACGGTAAGTAGTAGCTTGTGTGTGGGACAGCCCATTTAGGCTGTTGTCCGGTGTTATTGGGTGACGGGCCCCTCAGTTTTCGACTTGTACATTACATTTACAATTAACAATAACATTAAAATAACTTAATATTTCCTCCTTTGAAAATGATTCATCTCCCTCAAACACTATCAAAATATATGGGTTTGTATTATCCCAATATTTATCGTAACATTTATGTTCTAACAAGGATCAGCAATGGAGCATGCAGATCTAGTGGCCGAAATGGCCCATGTTGAGCATCTTACTACTCAAGAAAGATTACATCTGGCACGAAAAAGACGAATACAACAGTTAAAAGTATGGGCAGCCCGGGAAAAAGACTGGCTTCGTCACCAGAGGAAGGGGCGTTCTAATATCAACAAGAAGCAGAAGCACATCTTTTTTAATGACAGTGTTATGCTCTTAGAAGCTGCAGCAAGAAATGATGTTGAAGAAGGTAAACTTATTACTTGTTACTCATTGAGGACTTATATATATATATCAAATATCTATCTACATCATCTATGTGTACTGTATCATGTGCATTGTGCATTACAGTTGAAAGATTATTAAAAAAAGGAGTCAACCCAGATTCCACCAATGAAGATGGACTTACAGCTCTACACCAATGCTGTATTGATGACAACGAAAGAATGATGAAACTGTTGTTAGACTATGGTGCTAATGTGAATGCCGAAGATAGTGAAAAGTGGACACCTCTTCATGCAGCCGCAACATGCGGTCATTTACACCTTGTTCGTTATTTGATTAATAGGTATTTTTCTCAAAGTTGAAATTTATAGGAAGTGAATGCAAACATTTATGTGTATTTGATTCTTATTTGTGATTTTTATGATAGCTCTGCCAATTTACTGGCTGTCAATGCTGATGGAAATATGCCATATGATATTTGCGAGGATGAAGCTGCCTTGGATCATATTGAAAGTGCAATGGCAGCTCGTGGTGTCACTCAAGAACTTATTGATGATACACGTGCAGCCACTGAGTTAAAAATGCTGCAAGATCTAGAGCAACATGTTGCTAAGTACGGTACCCAAGGCTTAGAGGACCATGATCATCAGGGAGCCACCCCTGTAAGTAAAGGCTTGCTATTTCTAACCAACTGAAGTAATGCTGTCATTTGGAGCTGTGTAATAAGTGTTCTTTTGTTCTCCAATTTGTTCAGCTTCACATAGCTGCAGCTAATGGATATATCAGAGTTGTGGAGTTTCTTTTGGATCAGCATGTTTCAACTGATGTACGGGACAATGACGATTGGCATCCACTTCATGCTGCAGCATGCTGGGGGCATGTAAGTATTTACGTGATAAGAGATTACATACTTTTATAAAATAATAAAATAAAAAGTTCTTTCAAGATTTCAGTTGAAATACTCAATTTTTTCAATGCATATGCTTCTTTTCAGATGGAAGTATTAGAACTACTTGTTCAAAATGGTGCTGATCTTAATGCAAAGACAAAGCATGATGAAACTCCAGCTGGTAAGATTTTCCTCACTATAAATTTAAGATCTACTTCACAGTATTTCCAAATTTTTAGCTAAGTTATTTTTCCAGATATTTGTGAAGATGCTGAATTACGAGAGAGAATTATTCAGCTACGTAGTGAGCAAGAAACTAAAAGAGCTGCTGAAGCTCAAAGGAAACGAGTCAGGAGATCTCAGTCAAATACCCGCACTCAATCTGTGAGACGCACATCTATCAGAGATAAGACATTAACCTCTAAAAAAGATGCACAAGATGAAGCAAGGCTGCGTCTTCAAGCCCAAGAAGTGTTCATCGTACCTGTAGATAATGTAGATGGTCCTGTTCCCATCGTCGTGTCTGCTCCTGCTCCCCTGCCTACTCCTCGTTCTGCAAATTTGTCTTCAACCCAGTCAAACATTCGATCACCAGTACCAGTTCCTGTTGTTGCTTCTCCACTCACACCAGTAAAGTCTCCATCACAAACTCCAATTCACAGTCCATCAACAATGGCCCCTCAGGCAACTGATGAAGAGAATGATAAACAAAGCATTGCACCAAGCCCACCAGGCAGCAGATCCTTGCCTGAGGGACAAGACAATGATTCCCAATTATCATGTGAGAGTGGGAATGTGGTTCCATCATCACCTACAAACTCTTTGGCTGGTTCTCCAACACCTTTAGGTATGTCTCTGCTTTCCACAAATTTGAAACTATTAGCACAATCTGACTAATCTATACCCTTAACTGTTTCAGACCTACCTGCTGAAGCTGCTTATGTAACAGATACTAATGGGAAAATTAATATTCATGTGTCTGTCACAATCAATGCGGGGACTTTGGCTGATTTAAAGAAGCAAAGAGCGTCTATTCGAAATGGAACAGTTCAGAGTCATAGTGCTGCTGCTGCTGCATCAGCTGCTGCCTCCTCAAATGGCAGTCTTTTGACTGCTACAGATGCAGTAGGTCTCCCTCCTCCAGGATGTGTTAAACGCTTTGCTGGCAACACCAGCGATGTTGTTGAAGATGCTCGCTCAAGACGATGTTGTATCATATCATAATTAGATACCTTAATCAGAACTGTTTTGTTCATAATTATCCTTTCTTATAGACTTTTGCCATGAAGATGGCTGATTTTAATCCCTGGAGGATGCAGTCGTTTTCTGAGCGCTTGTTTATTGGGGTTCTTGATTTTTAATCTTTTTTATGATTAAGCTGAATTCCTTTACAATGTGATTTTATTAGCATTTTAAATTTTGCTCCAGTTGATAATTATTAAGGAATTTTTTCCTTGTCTTGATGTTGTATTAAATGTACTTAACAGACACCTTTTCTTGCATAAGTGTTAATACTCTTGCTCTTCCATTATAGTAGCTGTGTAAAGGTTGTGCTGTTCATTTTGTTTTTGAAGTTATGGCTACGTATTATGCAGAAAAACCTGATTAGTAAGAATCTCTCGGGACCGTGGTATCAATACTTAAATCCAAATAGTCTTTATAACAATAATGTGCTTTGACATAAAAATTTTGACCTGGATTTTTGGAAAACCACTTGGCATTAACATTGGCATTATTGACTATACTCTCGTATCGGTCCAATCAATCAATTATCAATTATAAGGAGGTATTCTTACTATCCAGGTTTCACAGTATATTTATGTTAAATGTAATGTTGGAAGTAGGTTAATGTCAACATTAACAATTTTATCTTTGGAAAATAGATAAATGTCTGATTTTTCATTTTGGACATCTAGGATCATCTTCATGGTGTGGATTGAGAATCCTGGAAACGGTCCTAGTGGTCGGAATGAACACCACAATGAAATCGTTCTTCAAATCTATCGAGTTCTCAGTTAGTAATATCAGGGGACTGCTTTTATTCGTTCTCTAAAGTGAGCTCTTAAAGTTCAATGATAAATGATTGAAATCAATGAAACAGACATTACCTATTACCCTTACTAAATTAGCTGGATGATTTTTTGACATGACCTCTGGTTAATGCTGACATAAACCACTCATCATCCCACATTTCCAATAACATATACATAGATAGAAGAAATTTTTACTTTGTCATGTATACAAATGATTTGGTTGATAGATAATTCACATCAACCACAGAGCACATAAACTGCAACTTGTTAATTAATTTTAGTTTTGATCACTTACTTTACTTGATTGTTAGGAAGTGAATTGTACAAATTTTTATTGTTGCCTAACTACGGTGACTGTCCAAATAGTGGTTCGCTTAAGTATTACTTTTAGTAGTTATTTTACTGACTAAAGTTATCAGTGATTGTGATGGGAAGATGGTTATCCGTGATACATCCAGTTTTTGTGATAAGTTTGAGTAATGAGGAGATTTGTGGAAGTAAACATACTTAACTACTTTCTGAAGTTGTTAAAAACAAGATTCTTTTCAAGACTGAGATATGCTTGCAAAGATTATGCTCTAATTTTTCTTATGCTCATGGTGTTTAAAACACCTGTCAACTCCTGACAGTATTGGATGATGTAAACAAGAGTAGCTATTATTCATCTTCCAACTTTTCTTACTGTGTTTAAATTTGGTTTGAGTGCGTCCAGACTGTATTCCTTTTATGTGTTCATCTTCTTTCTTTAACATTCCCTAAATGTTGTTAGTTAAAGATTTATCACAGTGTTAAAATTATTACCTCTTTATTTTGGGGGGGTATCAAACTGTACTAAGCTAAGTGTAACATGCATTGTACTTCCTCTTATGTTAAGTGTCTAGTAAGCTCATGACAAATCGTATTGAACAATAACCACTTTAGCTTTAGAAACCTTTTTTTTTTTAAAGCAGTCTATGTTACAGAACATAGCTCAGTATTATTTCTGTTTTTTGTCTCCGTTGATGAATACATTTTTCACTCACCTAACAATTTTGATTTACCAGTATTTTTTAGCAGAAGCCATTTTGTAGAATGCAGCTTTTTGTCCATGGATTGGTGTAGTCTTTCGTCAAGCATTATTCTATGAAAGCCAAGCTTTGATGGATGCTGATAAGCAAAGTCCCTAAATTAAAATCCATCCTGTAATGATATAGCATGTTGTGATTTTGTTGAAATGGAAATGTGCCTTAATCATTTAGCAAAGTAGTGATTGTTTGCGGCCTTCACATCAACCATATATTTTTTAAGTCTTTAAGCTCCTTAAGTACTATGATTTTACTTGAATGCACTGTGCACGTTAGTTAGACATGTAATTTTTGTTATGTTTGTGAAGGGATATTGTCATGGGTTTAAGATGTGAGCATGTTGGTTAATGGTCATCAGGGCTTTAAATTGGAAGCAGTAAAACGTTTTGTGACTTGTGTTTGTGTAATTCCTTCCATAGAAGAGACAAGTACATAACTTAACATTTTTTATAGCTTTACTTTGTTCTACTTAAAGAAATGACTCATAATTAATTTTGAAAAGTAATGATAATTGTTTAATGCATAATTATCAGAAAGGGCTATTTTTTCTTATTTCGTAATTGAGTAGAAAACTTGTGATATTTTAGCAATTTTTCCGGCTTTGTCGGATTTTTGTTCCAGAACGTGTATTATGTAGTTGCACCTGTCAATAAAGTTGATAATTCACAATGTTTTACCTGCATTTCATCTTTCTGTTTGAGAGAGAAAAACATAAACCTCAAACTGAGAATTAAAAGAACAGTAGGCTAAGTATGTAAGTCACACAAATATATTTGACACAGATAATAACATTGCAAACATACATATAAACACTAAACTTACAGAGTAAAAAATCACAGAAAATGTAAGTGGCAGTGCTGCTCACTCTCCCATACAGTTTTACACTCACATTTGTTAAACAGCACATACAGAATGATAACTTAGATGGAATTGCAGATCAAGTTGCAGACATTTATGTTCAAGTAGTTCAAGAAAAGATCAAATTGAGATTATAAAGGACACTTTCAACACAAAATCAAGCCAGTATTTACAGATCATTTCAAATGTAAGGGGGAAAAATCGGACTTTTACGTTATCACACAACGGACAACAAAAGGAAACTTAAGTTGCTAGTAAGAAAGAGAAAGTTTTTGTAATTGATAAAAAAAATGTGAAGAAACTGATTGACACACACCCTCACAAGATCCTGCAAGGAAAAAACATAATCTACTCTATACTTACGATAATTACCGCTTCCCAAACAATATCAAACATATCCTTTTTTTTCAGCAGCTCTTTCAAAACAATCAGCCCTATTAAATGATAAGATCTTACAAAAGCATTATATAAGTGCACGGCTTAGACATAATATGGTAACACTTCAATAATACCAGCCAAAATCTAGACAAAGTTTAAGAGAAAGGCTCGGGGATGCTATGCAGCTGTTTGGACACTTTAAAAAAAAAAAATAAAGAAAAATAACAAGGAATTGGAATTTGCCATATTCATCTGAGTATAAGACCCCACCCACTTAAAAGGGCTCAAGTTTTTCAGAAAAGTATTTTAGTGGGAACTCCTCAGTGAGTCCCCAAACACCAAGCGCATCTATAGGTCATGTTTTTTTTGTTGTTTTTTTTTGGGGGGGGGGCGGATGTGCAGAGAAAGGGGGTATTATACTCCGGTGAATAAGGCACTCACGAGAACAAGGCACTGAATTATAAAACAATTCTGTAAGGTAATAATACCATATCTTCGGTAATTTTTTCTCAGAAAAGAACAGATAAAAAAAAAAATTAGTGTAAATGTAATGACGTTCAAGACATTAATTTACAAAAAAAACGAAAAAAAAAAAAAAAAGAAAAAAAAAGAAGGAAGAAGCCAAAAAGGAAAAAGCATTTTGGCAAATCAAAACATCTCATAAATTAATACATAGTAGAACATACACAATCGACTAGCATACAACAAAATACAGAATCCATGGAAAACAGGCTATACCATACCACATCATCATAAAATATAATAGACACCCATACCAGATTTACTGAGGAGTTACAAAATAAAACCTCAAAAACTGATTGAAGTACTGCAAAATGCTGTAAGGGCACAAACAGAAGCACTATAGAACCAAAATTATAACCTGTTAATATATTTGTTCAATACTGCTTTTAGTTAGAAAAAATAACAAATTCTTAAGACATATGGTTCAACTGGACAGTAAAAATGATTTTGATAAATCACACAATTAGCTGACACAGTTTGAGCGGAAATAACTTTGAGAAAATACCTTTATACAAAAGGTATAAGACAAATATAAATACAATACTGGAAAATACTATAAAGAGTAGATTATAATACAATCCACACTTCATGCTTATCTGCTCATCAGAGAGGCTTGGAATATGAAAAGAAATATATCACCACATATATAGAATGAACACCCAAGTAGATCAGTAGTTTGCTGTCTTAAAACATAAAATGGTCCACAAACCAGTTATGAAGCATGTTACAGAGCAAACAGAGTATACAGATATATAAGAATATAAATGTTAGAGGAATTGTCGAGAGTCTCAACACACCAAAGACTGCCTAGGCTAGGCAAAGTTGGGAGTAGATTCCTGTTTTAATTTTATTTTAGGGAGGGATAGGGAAATGATGGAGGAGAATAGAGGATAGTCTTACCCTACTTAAGTCTAACAGGTCCAAAGAAGTAGTTTTGTTCAAGTCTTACAATTACTTTCCCGTACACTCGGATTTCGACAATTATTGGTCTTGGCCTGGAAGCCATATTAAAGAAGACGCTATCTCTTTCTTTCATGTACACGGTACAAAGCTGAATCAAACAACAGAATTCAAAAGGGAGCACAATGGGAAACACTGACTCAAAAAAACATATTTGTCAGAGTACAGTAGTATCAGAGTTATGTGGCACTGGTAATAAATTTCACACAATACAATAAACATATAAAATACATTGATTTGTAAACTGGGTAAAATTTCCAAAAAATTAACAGCTAAATGTTTATCAAAAAATAGTAGTGTAGATAGAATATCTTTGAAAATGACATCACAAAAAATATCAAAAATATATTTCCTGATTTCCACATCTACTGCAAAACCATGTGTGAGATTAGATGGAGAAGCAGTACTATTCAGATCACTCTTTTACTGAATTTTTTCACCAATCTACGAAAGTAGCCCATAGAGCTTACACGGGGCACTAAATGCATGATTATAGTCATTGCAGATGCTAAACCTCCAATCACCAAAAAAAACTTTACAGTTAACTTTTCATTTTCAAACATGTACATGGTATAATTGATTGAACACTGGTATAATTTATTTTAAAACCTATAATATATAAAATAACTCTCAATTACCTTGAAGGGAAGAGAGATTCATATGGAGGAGGAAGATCTTTGTCTTCATGGACGGGAGATGTTGCTGATGAGACAGGTAAAAGAGGAGGTGCAGTAGGCTGGCTCTGTCCTGATGATACTCCCACATTTCCCATGGGAGTTGACATCTCAACTCGTCCTGACTGCTGTGATGAACGTTGTTGTCGAGATGCAGATGAACCAGACCAACAAAGTACTTGACACCGCCGGCAGACAAATAGACAAAACATGAACAGCAAAAGCAGCCCCAGTATAAGAACTACAGCTCCAATTGTAACTTTTGTGCCTAGACCAGAACTCTGCCTCTTCCCACCTAAAAATAGAAAAGAAAGGAATGAGGAGGATAATTTACAAATGATTAAAATAAAATTAAAGGGTAAAGCACTAACCTGGAGATATCACAGGACAACCTCCTTCATCAAAACAGTCATTGTAAGGGCAATTTACATTCGTGTCTTTAAAAAATCCCTCCCATATACAAATGCCACTTCTTGCAGAACACTCTTTGAATCCATCATTATCTCCATATCTGCACACTGGAAAATGAATGCATGAACTTATGTAACAGCAATACAATACAACACTGTAGCAGAGTAAATTCTAACTAGTGAGGCTAAACATACTTTTGTAAGCAGTAAAAATAATAGATATGTCAAGCTTTTCAGATGCTAGAAGTTGTTGATTAGCTACTGAGATAGTCACATCTAAAGTTCCTTTATCGTCAAGGAAAGCATTATGTGCCATAACATAGTCTTTCAATTCATCAGAGTCATCATCTGGTTCATGGATTGAATTGACAATACCACAAAACTGCTGGCTTCTTTCAGGATCTGATCCAAATATCATTTTGAACTTAGTATGACGTTTCTGAAACTAAATTTTACTTTGATAAATACAGCTGAAATAATTGTAAGGAAAAGAAACTGTGATAGAGAGATTGAGATGAATAAACGTACCTGCACATAATCAATGCATTCATGCGTCGATTCATTTTTACGAAGATCCAGATTTTGAATGATCGCAATTATGCCATATCCCCAGGGAGCAGTGACAGTGAAGTTACAATTGAATGGATATGCCCCTGACCACTTATCAAAGTAGCGAAGCTCTTTCAAAGAGATAGCAGAGTTTTCTTTCTCCTGCAGTTTCAGTTCTCTTTTTCTTACAATGGAACAAACTTTACTATTTTCGAGATTATCTGAAAAGAGTGGAAACAGTGAAATGCTATTACAAGACATTGAACAATCATTTGCCACTTTCCTGAAAACTAGACTGATAGGTAAGGTTAGATGTAATACATTCAATTTAAATGAAATTTATGGAGGCGAACATGCGTTATCAAACTCAATACACACAAAAATAAGAAAATTAAAAATGTGAAGAGTAACCTCAAGGAAAATCACCTTGCAAGTTGCATGACAGGTATAGCAAAGGTATCAATATATAAATGAACAATGAATTACTTACATTCCAGATACGAAGAAGAAGTGACAAAAATGGAGAACAGAGTACACAACAATATGGAAGCTTTAACAACGTATCCGTTTGCCATGTTTGAAGGTGGAATGTGTCATCACCACTATGGTTTACAAACAACAAACAAACACCAAATCTCCTGACAAATACAACTTCTTTTTTTTTTTAAACAAAAGGCTTGAACACAGTAGATTTTGGGAGAAATAAGGTATCCATTCATGACGTCATTCAGAACATCGATGAAAAATTGTTCCTCCATTTTCTAGCGGTTCGAGCTCAAGAGGAGAGGCGCCTCAAACCTCCATCACCTCCATGTTCGCTTAGTTGACGTTTCGCATTTCCGATAAGTTATTTGAAGGAATATTTGAATGAAAGACACCTACTGGAAACTTATCAGCTGTATTGAAACTGCCAGAAAATGCCGAGAGGGCGTGCACCTGAGGTAGTGCTATTCGCAAGGAGCAGCCAGGTAAGAGTTCTTTTCCAGAGTTATTTTTATGTAGTCTACAGTCAACAAATTTCAGTTCTCATAAGGTTTTATTTCTACTTCCTTTAGGATGGAGATTCTACTGCTGATGATTGGGACGACACTGAACTGCTGAAAGAGTACGACAAAGCAGTTCGGCCTATTAAGGCCTTGGTGGCAGAGAGGATGGGATTAAGCAATGCTGAATTACAAGAAGCATCGGCTACTGAAAGTTGTGCCAGTTCATCTAAGGAAGCTTCGAAGGGTCAGAAAAGAAATCAAAAAAAGAGACGTAGAAAAAATAAAAGCAAACAGCAAAGGGAGGTAATTGTTCATGGTTTTCTTTTGCTGTTTTGCGCGCATTGTCTACAAGCATTAATTTGTACTGTTTGTTGTTGTTTTTTTTCAGTGGGCTGTTGGGGATCACTGTCAGGCAATATTTACTGTGGATAGCAATTGGTATGAAGCAACTATAGTGTCAATAGATAAAGAACAGATGACCTGTACTGTACAGTATGTTGGTGAGTTTGTTTATTAATATCCGTTCACCATCATTTAAAAACAATAATGATTAGAATAATTTCAGTTTGTACCATCTTATCAGGATATGGAAATTCCGAAGAACAGTCTTTATCTGCACTAGCTCATTCAATGGGAGCTGCGGTGAGAAGGGAACAGGGGCGTATAGCTAATTTAGAAAAGGTAGGGAAAGAGGGTAAAGTATCCAAGCATGAGATCCAAAGTTTTCAAACAAAAACACAATTGCATTGAGTACTACCGTCTTACTTTGTTTCAGAACTCCGAAGCAGAAGCCAGTCAGAGTGATGATATCTTTGACCGATCGTCCCAAGCCAGCTCAACTATTTCTAATTCAAGAGATCATCCTCCAGCTAGGAGATCTAAGCTCAATGTGCCTAATAAACTAGGAAATTCGGGCCACACATCTCACACAAGAGACTTTCATCCTCCTAAGTTCAGAAAGATGCCTGGTCACAGCTTCCCAAATATCACAGAGTTTACAGCAAACCCAGCAATTCATGATGTATGTATTTTCTCCCCAACACAGCGAAGTACAGGCAGTACAGTATTATTTCATTCCAGTTTTACATGTTTTGATTCAGATGGTACCTCCTCCACTTCCTCCTCACATCCTGTCAGGTCTTCCAGAGGATGATTCAGAGGCCTTATCTGCAATGCTCATGTCATGGTATATGAGTGGATTCCACACAGGTATTATTATTCTACCAGATAAAACTCATGGTTGCGGGTTTTTCTGCTGTAACCAAGAGATGTTACATTTCAATTCGTCTTTTATAGGATATTATCAAGGAATGAAACGAGCTAAAAACTGCACCCCATCTCAACACTGATCTTCCACACGCCTGCAGATTAAAACCTTCTATTTGTAGTTACATTCTTATGCTTCCCTTTACGAGTGCTAGCTTGACTTGTTCTGCTACCTCACAGCCTCAAACATTACATCTACTTGACGTTTTGTGTACATGTTAAGGTATGTTTTTGGTCCTTTTAGTTGTCGACATCTAATCAGTCCAATAATAGATATTGACACCTGACGAGTAAAAGGTTTTGGGTCTGATGAAAGTGCTGTTGGTTCAGGATTTGATGTGGGTTCCCTATTATGCTAAACTGGAACACTATCTCTATTCTGTAGACGGCCTTCAGAAAATGCTTTAAATATTCCTTAACCATGTATATGCTCTGTAAATACTTCAATTTAAAATAAAATTAAAAGAATGTTCCAAGTACCGTATCTTGTTTAGTATTTATTTCTAACCCTTACCCATTGAAGAAGTGTAGTGTATAATAAATTACTTGCAATTTTTTACTCAACTTTTTAAAGAACTGCACTGCTTGACATGGCAGTCATAGTACAGGAAACTGCAGCAAGAGTGTGTTAAAAGGTAGCAGGAGCGAAAAGTTGAATAGAAAACTGTCAGAATATGTGGTTGAAAAGTGTAAACTCAAGAAACGCATCTTGTTGAGTCATGTAAATCACGGTTACTCAAAGTACAAGACCAACATTAGAATTTAAAAATCATCACCTCTCTTCAATTTGTGCTTGAGAAAGATTTGTCACTAGATGCTAGTTCCGTTTGTTTTTCGTTTTCGAAATTCCCGCAATTGTTGGTGCAGGACACTTTCTCATATCAGCGCCTTTGCTTAATTTTTCAAACTTTCTGTGAAGATTTGTTGCTGCGGTGGTAAGAAGTATGGATGTCTGTCTTTAACCGGCTACCTTTAAGTATTATTTAACGAAAAGAATATGATTCCAAACCTTACATCCAGAAGATTGTTGATTCTTCTCCACATTTGGGTAAGGGTTTGAAACATGTGCGAGTCAGGAGATGATTGTGCTTGTGTTAACTTGACAAGTTGTATTGTATTTGTTGGCCTTGGACAGACGGATTAGACAGGTGGGCAAGACCTGCCAAAATGCCACGACTATAGATTCGGGCCGTTGTGCGGAAACGAAAGAAATTAGTTCTATCCTGCTGACATTTTTGCACTACCGTTCTGTTCAAGTACATTTTCTAGTTGCCCCATATCCTTCTATACAGTAGTTTTGTGGTTTAGGTTGTAACCACTCATTCTTTTTTGTCACTTTATCAGGGTTCAATATCTCTAGGGTTGTACAGGAGTGTGAAAGCTTTGAGGAAGTCTGTTTAAATATGAAGTAATAAATTTTTATTGATTACAGTTATCCTATTTGTTTTACAACCCGGCTGACAGTGGTGCAGTACAGCTAAGTGCATCCAACATCGACTCAACCTTAGGTAACACTTTTATTCATGCTTTATTTATATTTGTTTGTTTTGAATATTTTTGTGATGTCCGGTTAGACTGTTAAATTTTTAGTCATATTTTAATTGGTTTCTTTCTTTACAGCCTCAAATGAGTTGGTATTCATCAACTTTTATGCCGATTGGTGCCGGTTCAGTAATATGTTGGCACCTGTATTTGACGAAGCGGCTGACAAGGTGACTGTTGAATTCCCAACACCTGGAAGGGTGGTTATGGGAAAAGTAGATTGTGATAAAGAAGGTATTTGAAATAGACCCAAACCACTATTGAAAAATTATAAGATCTAAAGTATGACAAACTACATGGTTGTGTATCTGTCTCTAATTTCAGGCACTCTTGCCTCAAGATTCCATATAACTAAGTATCCTACTTTAAAACTCTTTCAAAATGGTCAACCGGCTAAAAGAGAATACAGAGGTCAGAGATCAGTTGATGCATTTGTGTCTTTTGTGAAGAAACAATTAGAAGATCCTACTAAGGAGTTCAGTTCTTTGAAAGACTTAGAGAATCTAGATGTAAGTTGGCTTAAGGTAATTGTGATCTTCTTGATAATTATTACAAATCAAAAACTTGTTACATTTTCATCTAGGAAAAGAAGAGAATGCTAATTGGCTATTTTGATCGGAGAGACAATCCTGACTTTAATACCTTCCGAAGAGTTGCAACTAATTTGAAGGATGATTGCCAGTTCCATGTTGGCTTTGGGTGAGTATAATGTTTTCCAGTAGATATTTAGTATAAAGCTCATCCTTCTAAGATATCTCCTCATTTTTCTGCATCCTGAAACTCACCAGAATGTGGTTGTTTCTCTGGAGAAAGTAATTACAACATTTTAATGGTTAAGTGTAAGACACTTTCTAACAGATTTTCTATTTCTCAGCTTTTCACATGATGCTATTAATTCTGTCATCAAGTGAGTAAAATCTGTGGGCTTTTAATTGGATTTTTTTTAGGCTCTATTTTTATATGGGTTTGTGTTCTGCTGTAATTTAGCTTAGTGTTTTGGTTTAAAAGTAAAGGATATATGTTCCTTTCTTACTGAATATTTGCATCAATCAAACATTTTTCAAGTCCATCCTTTCTGGTGTGGAAAAGATATTTGTAAAGACTGTGGAAATTATTATTAATGAAAAGCAGGAAAATCCGTATCTCATGGATATCACAGTATTTTTGCTTATCTACTATGCATACATTGATCAGGCTTAGGCAGAGGGATTCTTTTAATTGCTTTCAATTGCTTTGCTTTGCTTTGCTTTTGCTCCAATACTAGTTGATGTCCTTAAAGGCATTCAAGGTGCCCTCACTTGCCCATTTTTTGTTTGTTTTTAGACAGTCCCTTATGACTGTCTTTACTGGAAGGTGAAAGTTTCCTGTTTTGATAAAGATTGCCGATTGCCACCCAGCCAAGAGATTATATTTGAACCACTGGTCTCATAAACATGAACTTTTTAGAAGCTGTCTTAAGTGATGGCTCCAGCAAAATTTGACTGGCATGGTTTTAGCAAAGGTTTTTTTTTTTTTTTTTTTTTTTTTTTTTAGCAGATGATTCCTTAAAACACCTAACACTTAACATAATTATACATAAAGTAATAAGCTAACTTTAACTCTCGATAGGGAGAAGAGAAGAAGCAAACTACCCAGATATTTAAGGCTAGGGGGAACCGTGAGTGAGGTTGAGGATGAGGCAAGGTGAATTGCTGCACCCCAACAATACAGGGCATGATGAAGCGTCGTGTTCACTGCCACCAAATACTGGAGAAAATCAAAACACATACGTTTTAAATTTGTAACATCTGATTTCACGATTGATTTGTCTTTATCTTGATGTTGTACAAGTTTTTGGTGCCAGTATTTACTTGTGCTCTTATAGGAGAAGAATTTTCTTCTTACTGGTGGGTCGGCCAGTTTTTGTTTGGCCCTTAAAACAGAAAAAGTTTATATCTGCAGTGTGATTTTGATGTGGTGGGTGTAGTCTTTGACCAAATACAAGTTTTAAGAAAGCGACTTGTCATTTTTGTGTTGTGTTGTAGAATTCTGTGATAGCTGAACTGGCATCTGAAGGAAGGAAATGTTTTTCATCTCTATCCTTTTTTACCCTTTCATTGTCTGTAGAAAAAAAAGCTTGAGCTCAATTTAGCAGTACTAGCTTGTAATTCTGAGTCCTTTCTGTTTTCAGGCCTGCATCTGAGCAGATGCATCCTCCTGGACAATCTATTGTAGTGTTCCGCCCTGACAAAGCAACATCAAATGAACATGATGAGACATTTATGGGTGATATTAGAAGTTATGATGAGGTAAGTTGAAACTTTTTCGATATTATTTAGATATTTTAATATCTATCTATCTTTATCTGATTTCATTTTCAACATGTGTTTGGTATTCTGTTTTTGTAGCTGAACATTTGGGCAGCAGAAAAGTGTGTTCCTTTAGTGAGAGAAATTACTTTTGAAAATGCTGAAGAATTAACCGAGGAAGGCCTTCCTTTCTTAATATTGTTTCATAAAGCAGATGATACTGAGAGCATAAAAAAATACAAGGATGTGATAAATAAAGAGCTTATTGGAGAGAAACGTAAGGAACTATTTCTATCTGGGTAGAGAAGGGCTATGTACTTTATACCAGTGTATTGAATTTTTTCTTTGCGTTTTTGCAGATAGTGTCAATTTCCTCACTGCTGATGGTGGTCGGTTTTCTCATCCATTGCACCACCTTGGGATGAGTCAGTCAGATCTCCCTTTAATTGCTATTGATAGTTTTCGTCACATGTACCTTTTCCCTAAATTTGAAGACATGGAAATTCCTGGAAAACTTCGACAATTTCTCCTTGACCTTTATTCTGGTAAACTTCACAGGGAATTCCACTATGGACCTGACACACCTGCTGAAAATACTGTTGAGTTAATTGCTGGCAGTGTGGATAAAAAACCTACATCACCCCCCGAATCATCCTTTAAGAAGCTTGCACCCTCCAAAAATAGGTACACATTATTACGAGATGAGCTGTAGATTTTTTTGTTTTTTTGTCATGTCTGTATGTTTGTGTGTATGTGTGAATGGTTGTTTATATTGATAAAATCAAGTGTTCTCTTGTGATCTGACCAATTTTACTTTGAAAAGAATCGTGTATAACTCCTTTGTGCAATATGTATATTTTGTTAAACCTAATGGTGTACACAAATATTGTTTCTCATCATAAAAGGCCAGTCTGTCAAAAGGTATTTTTTATATTTCTTTTTCATTTTTGTCTCACTTTGACTCCTGCAGCACATGCAGTTTCTTATTCATTTTATGTATGCCATGTTTACTGTACTGTATAATTATGTGATCACATCTTATTTGCTTTTTTTTCTTAATTCGATGCCCTGTATGCTTGGCTTTGTTGATATATATGGGTTCAGGTTTTTCTTATTTCCTTATTTCCTCAATTTGGATATGGGAGCCTGTGAAATTCTTCAATATCTCTTGTTTCAGAAGATAACTCTAATTACTGGAGTTTGATAGGGTACTTTTGGTGAATGTGATCAGGGTAGCATATGTGAGGATTCATTAGGTACTGCCACAAGGTTCTGCATCTGCAGCTTGCAAACAAGAAAACCGCCCAACACCAATTCATTTTTAAACTCAATTTAATTTGATTGAAAACAAAAGCAGGTTGCCACCTTGAAACTTAATTGGGCATGGTTAGGAATGGATACTGTTAAAAAAGTCCTTTTCCATTTTTGTTATATGTGTAGCTAAATATGGTGCTTCCAAAACATGTTCAACATTATTTTTTATGGAGTTATCAGAGACATTTTGTATCTTGCACACTCTGAAAAATAAATAAAAGAGCACTTTTATCTAAGATTCAATTTTCATTCTGTATGCTCATTGTATTAAGACATCCATGCATGTTTTGTTTTTTTTAACATCACTTATAGCTCTTTTTAGGTGTACCTACTTTTTGTTTGTTGTAAAAAAATTGCACACCCATGTATTAGTTTATTGGTGTTATGGACTTCTTTTTAAAAGGACAGATTATGTTGTTTTCCAGAGAAGTGTCAAATTTTGTATGAATTCTACGTTTAAAATTAAATGAACAGAAATAGTGTTTTGTATTAATTTTTTTTCACTGTAATGTTGCATGAATTAAAAAAAGTGGTGGCTGTTACACCAGGTAACAACAATCAGGTATTTGTCTCAAATCCAACCCAAATCAAAATATATTGATTTTGAATGTATATACATACCTTTTGTGTTGAATTAGTTTATCAAAGTGAACTTTTTGATGAATTTGGGTTGAAGCTTATGGGAAATGGAGAGAGTGCTCAAAATCGACCATATTTTCAGCTGGGGCACATAGAAGCTACAACTTGTTAATGTAGGATATTAAGCTTAATGAAGACTGTTGTGATTCTGGTTAATTGTGAAGAAGCTAGAGTAAACTATCATAACTCATGTTTGAATTGTTTGCTCTAATTAGATTCTTATAATAATGTAAAAAAAAGGTGGCTTTAAGTGGCGTGTTAGTTTAATAACCATCAATGATCCTCAGTTCAGCTTTTGAAAAAAATAATTACTTATGCAGATTGCATAAATTCAAAGAACTGTTCATCATTGGCCATACTCAGTATCATGTTATCATCTGTTATTCTGTGTTGCTTGTCACAACATTATTCCCACAAAATTCTCATTAACAACCATGTACTCATCAGAGTTAGCAGTCGGAGACGTTTCTCTATTGTCCATGGCAAATTGTGATTTAAGAAAAATCTCTTATTTACAAGTGATGAAATAAACTTATGTATGATCCGGTTCATTTTAATTTTTTTGTTTTGTTCTTACTTACTAGACTAAATGTACGTGCTGTACAATGAAGTAGAAGACACATTGGCACGGAATTCCAAAACTACTGTCAAAGCTACTGGGCTTTCCGAGTCAAGCTAAGTTGATCTGAATTAACATTCTACCCGCTATTCTTCTTCCTCTGTTAGCCAAAATACACTATTGTCCACACCTCGCCTCGGAGCACTTTCCTGTTCGAATGGCTCCCGCCATTACGGCTGTCTCCCTCTTCTGCCGTACATCCAAGCCTCGAGACAGTTTCACACAACACAAATAATCTTGTCCGAGATTCCATGTTGCCAGTTAAGTCCCAATTTACCTCTTCTTTGATCGAAAATTAGTTAAATTGCTTCAAATGCTTAGAAAACGACATCCGGCTGTCTCTTGACGACTAAGTTTTCGTTCGCGGCAGGTTGGTAGCGCGCTCGTCTTTCGCCTCCGTCTCGCTCCTCGCTCGCGCTCGGCTCGGGCTCGGGCTCGCCTCGCCTCGCCTCGCCTCGCAAACAGCAGTTAGTTGATGTCTAGCTTCCAATGTGATGTGTGTGTTGTGTCCATTCTCTCGTTAATGTTGGAAAATGAGCAGTTTCGTCTGACTGAAAAATAGTAGGCCTTCGTGTTATATGCGTTAGGTACTACGTCATTTATTTACTACTTGAGTGTTTTGTGAAATACTGCCCTCTTTGTTGTTTGTATCACTTAGCGTCTCTATGTGTTTTGCTGTTTTGATTTAGTCATTGTACCACTTCCAAAGCGCACGTTCAGTGTGTATGTTTCACAAATGGGTAATTCAAGCTTGCTTCCCTTACCTTGACGGGACTGGATCACCTGCACTGGAAAATCGAATTTCTCTTTTATTGGTTTAGTGATATCAATGAAAGTGGGTTAGTGAACTACAGAAGACATCAGTTTAACCTTAGTTTCAACGGATTACCATTTTCAAGTAAGAATTACAAGACCTATTTGCCCTGTGCATGCTAAATAACCAGAATAATTTTTTATATTAAGTTCGCTTGTAGCTTAGTTGTATTTGAATTCATTCAATAATATGGCTAACAATCACATATTCCAGAACTAGTTATTTTGCATTTGTTTTATTTTTAGTACCAGTTCATGTGGCAACTTACTCTATTCTTCATTCAATCATAACTTGAGTTATGATGTTACTTGTTTTCTCAAGTTGCCAATAAAATTTGATTCCTGTACTAATTAGTTTGTTTGATTTTACAACAACCTACATTCTACGCTTGTCGGGTTGCTGAATAAATGTTTTGTATTAAGTTGTAAAGGGAAGTAACTGTACTCAGAGTTTTATCCAACGAGCCTTCTTATGCCGGACATATCTCAGATATTTTATTTCGCTACCCCCTTATATCATACTGCGCATGTTGGTAATATTTGGTTGGTTGTTAGTTTCGACACATTATAATAAGTTGGAATTACTCGCACAATTCCACTCTTTTCTTAACAGTTCTTTAGTTTGAGATGTTTCAGTTTGGTGTGTGTATCACAATGCCATTTGATGTCGCTGAGCTTGAAGCTGGCAAAACTTCCCTTGTGACCCATAGTCTCGTCTTGAAATGTTTTAAAAGACTGTAGCTTATGCATGGCCGCGCTCCGCCCAGGCAGCCCTGCGCAGCAGTACCGCAAGGGAAGGGTCAGCCCGGCGCACAGAGTCACCTGGCCGCGTAACGCGTTTTGAATCAGGTATAACACTGGGTGATGTTCTGAAACCTAGATTGCGTAAGGGAAGTCGTACTCAAGACGTGTAACAGATGTAATGCCTACTCTCTTGCGTGGGCGTTGACCGTGTCACTGCCCTCTTTTCGCCAAGTGACATGGATTGTAACATTTTCGCTGCTCGCACAGAGTAGTGTATAGGACTTTAGCACAGAGTAGACTCTCGTGTGATTACTGGACACCTGGCACTGGCACAGGTGGCTCGGGTCGCAGCAGTCCGCTAAGGATCGAGGGCCTATGAGAAAGCTTGCGTGTGTGTGTATGTGTGTGCGAGGACGTGTGTGATTGACCCTGGAAACAGTGTGGAGACTTGCTCGGATTTTATGTGACTCCCACGACGCAGAGCTGACGTGGAGCCCCCGGCCCGGAGGCGCGTCACCCACTCTCACTTCATTTCACTTCACTTCACTTCGATACCGTAGGTCTCCATAGACCTGTGGTTTTCGCGTGGGTCTACGAGCAACCCCACCACTTGCGAGCCTCCAGGTCTAAAGACAGAACGTTCCCAGGCGTTCCGGCTCGCAGGCGCTGTCGGGATCGCGTAGGATTTCGTGCATCCCCGCGGAACCGCGAGCCTCCCCGTAGAACCGCGGGGGATGCGCGGAATCGTGCAGCGGAGGTGCTCACGGTTCCGCGGGGGATGCGCGAAACCATGCGCGCTCCCGACAGCGCCTACGAGCTAGCGCGTATGCAACCTGCTCTTCTGTCATGTAAGAGCTGGGACACCCGGTACTGTAACGCGTGCAGGGCGGGCTTGCCTACCGTCACTTACCATGGCGCGCTTATGGCCCCGTGCGAGTAGTATGCAACCCGGGCGGTACAGTATTAATCGAAATAAAGGAATGGGTCTTTGGGCCACCCTATATGGATAGCTAATCGGATAGCCACACAGGCAATGTCGTTAGCAGCATTGGATTTGCCATGTCAGCTAGTTTTATATATTAGCTGCCTTAGTTAATGCGTAGTCTGTAGCCTAATGAGAATCGCATGCCGGTCCCAGGACTTAAATCTCCCCTAACGCATGGCAACAAAGCGCGTGCTACTCAGGGGGTGGGCGCCTGAGCCAATGTCTTGCCTCTAGGCTGTCCATGTGCTAGAGCTGAGGGGCCACCCTAAAAGTGCGCCCGTCATTCGCCCTTCCGAACCCGAGCTCGCAGTTTAACCTCTGTGTGCTCTCACATCGCCTGTTAGGTAGGCAGCATCTTGTCTGCAGTGCATGCGTGTACTGCGGCGTGGCCTACCCGGAGTCTCGCAGGCGCTGAGCTCACGTGAATTGCCGACTAAATCTGAGGAAAATGGACCTACATGCTGGACGATCCTGACGATCCCAAATGCAACCAAAAATGCAACCCGGACGTTGCACGCAAGAAAGACAAGCTTACTCTGCTAATTTAATCTGGGTATCTAACCTGATTTAGGTGCACAGCTAACTAGTAGCAACGTAGATAACCGCCTTACAAAAGTAAAAGACTACAAATAACTCCTTTGGGGAACAGGCAGAATCTAGTCGTATCATTTCTTTACTTCTAGTGCGTGCGGTGCTCTGGAAACTCAAGTGGCCTACAGTATCACACTTATAAGTGTAGTAACATGGTGTCCTACAGTTCAAAGTGTACTGCAGTTAAAAGTGTAGGACACCATGTGTCCTACAGTTGAAAGTGTAGTACACAATGTGTACTACAGTTATAACTGTAGGACAAGGGGTGTAGGACACCATGGTACTGCACCTATAAGTGCGATACTGTACGACACTTGAGTTTCCAGAGTGAGTGCACACACATTCCCGCAGTGACGTCTGTAGCTGGCCTACTCAAGCGCGGGCCGCGGGCCTATCCCGTCGTCACCGAGTCGGGGAGGGTCGGCCGGCAGGGCGCGGGGTCCGCGCGTGTGGCGCCACACCGACGGGATCCTGGTTGTCCTCTGGTCCCGCCCCGATCAGTGTTTGTGTGTGTGCTCGAGGGTATAGAGTCGTGCCGGCCGTCCCTCCCAGTCGTGCCGCGCCCGACCTTGCCGGCTGCACCGGCTTGTACGCAGCGCGCCGCCGACACGGCCGCGACACTCGTGTGGGATGGGTCCCCCACCCACTGAATGAATGAATTAACACGTGCACTAGCGAGCGGTGCACTTGGTGCAGCAGCGCCCCAGCCCCGCTATAGCCCAGCTGACGGTGGTGGTGGTGG